GCTGGACATGGTGGCTCACATCTTTAATCCCAGCACTTGGGAGGCAGAGGCAGGTGGATCTCTACAAGTTGGAGGCCAACCTGGTCTACAAAGTGAGTGTCAGGACAGCCCGGACTACCCAGAGAAACCCTGTTTTGTAAAAATAAAAAACCAAACAAAACCACCACCACCACCACCACCACCAGCACCAGCACCACCACCACCACCAACAACAACAACAAGAATCTTCTCACTTAAAAATTCATTTTATCTTTATTCGGATGTATGTGTATGGTTACATGTGTATAAGTAGGGGCTTGAGGTCAGAGTGGGTGTTGGATCCTATGGAATTGGAGTTACAGGAGGTTGTGAACCATTCAGTATGGGTGCTGAGAACAAAATTATAGTCTTCTGTAAGAGTAACAGGTACTCTTAACCACCGAGCCATCTCTCCACCCCCAGAAATTTCTCATTTTAAATGTATCTTGGATGACAGACTTTTTTTAAAATTCCACACCACAAGTTTGAGGTAGTTTATAGTGGCCTATAAGCATGTTTATGGAGCATTGTCTTGACTGACGATGAGAGAGAGAACCCAGTCCACGTGAGTGACACACTTACACAGATCACCCCGAGGTGTATAAGGGAGCTAATTGAGTCAGTCATCCAGTGCACAGCATTCCTCTGGAGTTCTCCAAGCATTTCTGAATGCTTGGTGCAGCAGTGTGTTCCATGATTTTACTTCATCTGTTCTAATACTAGAATCTTCCATGTCTTCAGAGCCTCTGGTTCTTATGTGGGGACAATGGTACTTAGAAATTAAAAGTTGGACACCAGGTGCTGCTGGACAGTCTCTGTGTATATACTGAGTACATATAAGATTGACCTCTCTCTCTCTCTCTCTCTCTCTCTCTCCCTCTCCCTCTCCCTCTCCCTCTCCCTCTCCCTCTCCCTCTCTCTCTTTCTCTCTCTCTCTCTCTCTCTCTCTCATATTCACAAATCCAGTCTAATGCTAGACAGTTAATTTTAGTCTTTCTCTTTTATGTCTTTAGTTTTAAAAAGATTCATTTGTATTTATGTGTGTGTGTGCTATGTGGGTTTCTGTGAAAGTGTACCATGTGGTATATATAAGTAACTAGAGGCCAGAGGAGAGTGTCAGGCAGACCCCAAGGAGCTGAAGCTACAGGCAGTGTGAACTGCTGGGTATGGGTGCTGAGAACTGTCTTTGGGTCCTCTGAAAGAACTGTGAATGCTCTTAATGCTCTTAACCATTGAGCCACTTCCCCAGCCTCTCCGAGTAGTGTTTAAGTCTTTTCTCCAGGTGAGGAATCTGGATCACACTTCTTTTCTGGTTCACACTTCTTTTCTGGATCACACTTCTTTTCTGGTTCACACTTCTTTTCTGGTTCACACTTCTTTTCTGGTTCACACTTCTTTCCTGGTTCACACTTCTTTTCTGGTTCATACTTCTTTTCTGGTTCACACTCTTCGCTGTTTTCATTTTTTTTTTTTACTGTCTTAGGTTTATACTCACATGAGGCTGATCCAGACTTACTAACCCCATTGCTATAAAAATTAATAACTCTAACCCCATTGCTATAAAAATTAATAACTCTAATGCTTAATATTTGTTAACTGATCACTTTTGTCTCCAGACTGTTTAGTCAAAATCATATTTGTCTGCTTAGTGTGATATTTTTATTTGAAAACAAGTCATTGGATTCATTTGCCTTTGTCTATATTTCATGTTGGATTTTACACCTTCCTCTATTGTTAGTAATATCATCATCTCAAGCCAAAATGATTTAAAAAAACACCAGCAGAAATGTATACTGCCTTCCTCCCCACCTCCCATGTTAATATGCCTTCCTGAGTTTCTGTTTGTAAATATAAGTAAGTAAATAAATACATTCGCATCCTATCACCTCATAGTTCCTTTTAAACACAAGGAGAACATTTTATAGGTGCTCTTTAACACTTTCCTTTTGGGAGTTAGGAATAAATAGGCCCTAGAAATCATCAGTAGCACAACTTCCCACAGCATTTCTGTGCAGTGCTGATGTGTTTCCTAAGGACATGTTCATAGTGAACAGCATATGCTCTGACAGTTCCTCTCTTCCCTCTCATCATTACCTTTCATTTCCACAGTCTCATGCTTACCTCCATGTACTATTCGCATATTTTATATCTATGTAAAACCTACAGTTCCAGGAGACAACCTGCAATGTCTGTCTTTCTGAGTGTAGTTTGTTCTCTTAGCTTGATAATCTCCAGCCTGCTCTCATACTCCTCCAACAGATGTGATTCATTCTTCTTTAGGATTGACTATAACACACTTCTTTTTCCATTCATCTTTTGACAGACACCAGGGCTGACTCCATAGTTTGCCGAGTATGAATAGGGCTGCAATAAACACTGAATTGAAGTATCTCTGGGATCTGATGATCAGACTTCTTTGGGCCTATTTTCAGGAGTAGCTATTTTCAGATATGGCTGGTTTTGTTGGTTTTTGTTTGTTTGTTTGTTTTTTTCTTTTCCTCCATACGGACTTCACAATGTGTGGACTAATTACTAATTTACATTCCTCCCAGTGCTGTTGTATAAGAGTTCTCTTATCTCTACATATTCCTCCAAATTTTTGTGTTGTTGCTATTTTTCTTAATGGTAGCCATTCTGACTGGGGGATAGAGAATCTGGGTGTTGTTTTAATTTGCATTTCCCTAATAGCTAAGGATGTTGAACATTGTTTATTGTACATTTGTACCGTATCTTTTGAGAACTATCCGTTCATCTCATTACCCTGTTTATTAATTGGACTATTTGATTTCTTGGTAGTCTTTTTAAGTTTTTAATATTCCATACATCGTCAGTTTATAGATGTGCACTGTTCTGTACTATACTCTGAATGTTCCACAGCTCATTCAACTCAACATGCAGCCGAGGATGACCTTGAGCTGATCTTCCTGCCTCTGTGTCTTAGTGCTAGGATGCCCATCATGCCTCGTTTCTATCATCCTGAGCGTGGAGTCCAGGGCTTTGTATATGCTAGGCAGGCACTCTTCCAATTGAGCTACCTCCCAGCCCTTGTGGGCTTTTCAATTGGGTTTTAAAAAATCTTTTTTTTTTCTTGTGGAAGTTGTAAAGTTCTTCATGCATTCTGAGTGCCCTGTCTTCCCACCCACTAGCCTTTGTCCCACTCCTCAGAAACCTTGAAAGCTGATTTTTGTACCATTAGCACCATAAGACTTTTATTTTCTTCTTAAACCTTCAGCTTCATGACCATTGTGCTTCCTGCTGGGTTCTTTCTCTGTCTCCCTCAATGAGCTTATGCCTCATTGAGTGCCTTAATAGGAATGGCATTATCAGTCTCTTCTCTGAAGCTTGCTCTCCTTCCAATGTCACTGCCTCTTCTAGCATAGCAAGAACATCACAAATTTGGGCCAGGGTTCAATGGTAGAGCATTTTCAGAGCATGTTTAAGGTTCAGGCTTCTATCCCTTAGACAGCAAGGAACGAACAAAACGAATAAATGAACACGAGTTCTAGCTCGCTAATGTGTCCTCAGCTATTGTTAGATCCCGAATGAGGACCTCACTAAGGTGTCATCCTGTCCCTAGGCTGTGGTCTGTAAAGCCCACCTTCCTCATTTTCTAACAGCTTCCAGCGGCTGTTCTGCGACATCTTCTCACACAGAGAGAAACTGATTCAGATCTGAGTTACTCCATCATTGCTGGTACTAGCAGTCATCTCTCCACTTAGCACATTTCATTAAATTTATATGGAAATGAGAGAACACAGTCAAATTGACAAAGCATTTTACAATTGACAGGGAAATGGGCTTGCTCATGCATTGCTAGGGAGGGGACAAATTGGTACCGTCTTTCCGGAGGGTATTAATTTATATCAAAATCCTTAACAATTCATTTGTCCTTTGGCCCAGCAATTTTGCTTCTAGGAATTTATCCTAAGGAAATAATAGTGAATACATATAAAGATTTATTTGGAAAGATTTCCATCTCATGACCCAAACTGGAATCAAAACACTAAATATGCATCAGTGTGGGATGTGATAAATTCTGGTGCATCAATGCAATGAGATATAATGGAATTTAATGCTGCCACAGAAGCAGATGAATATGTAAACACATTAGTGGCCTATTGTTCTGTAAAGAGCTCAAAACAACACATATGGTAGGATCCCACTTTAAAAGGTACATCCAGAACTACAAGACTGGAATGGCACATGTGGTAATGTTTCTTAATAATGAATATAGTTACATTTTTCCTTTTGTAAAAGTGCATTAATTTTTTTCCTGTAAGATATAATTTGTTTAAAAATTTAATTATGCTTTACTTTTTAAAACTTACAGTTGTCAGACTCGCTTGATAATATATTCTGGTGAACATTCTATTTTATACTGATGGCCTGAGCTGTGTTTTTATACTCTTGAGTACTTTACAGATTTCATTAGATTTTTATGTTATTGAAAATACTTTGTAGAACAGAAGACTCCATGCGAACACACTTAAAACCTATTCTTTTAAAATTCAAACAAAGGCTTTGTCTGCTTCTGTATGATGTGACAAAACAAATTTAGTAAAGAATCATTTCTTTAAAAAATTAAAATTGCATTTATTTGTGTGTGTGCATGTGTATGCATGCATGTGTGTGTGTGTGTGTGTGTGCGCACAACGCTGCATGTTTGGATGTCAGAGGACAACTCTGAAGGACTCCATTTTCATACTCTTTTGCCATGTGGGTCCAAGAGATCAAATTCTGCTTCCCAGCCTTGGCATCAGCATCTCTAATCACTGAGCCATCTCATTGGCACTAAAAGTCCTTTAGGAGAGTGCTTAGAGTTTGTAATAAGGACTTGGATTATCTTGAAAGATTCATTTCCTAAAATGAATCATTATCCTTTTGAAACCAGTGGTCAAAATTGTATGCAGTTGCTTTTAAAACTAAGATTAGATGATATCTCTCAGACACTCATATCCATGGTCCCTTTTTTTCCCTTGAAGGAATTCTGAAACAGTAGTCACTATGATTCCTTGGGCATGGAGGCTTCTTCCTAGAAAGGCCACTGGTTCCGTATCTACATCATCAGCCAATCAGCGAGCCGAGGATCACCATCGGCAGCTGGAGGCCTATGGGTACTTTCTGCCCATCCAGACCAGGTGGCAGGACAACGACCAGTACGGCCACGTGAACAACGCTGTGTACTACAGCTACTTCGACACTATAATCAACCACTACCTGCTCAGGTAGGCATGAGTCTCACTCTGACCTTGCTGTGTGCCCTTGCTTGGGATTTGGAGCTGAGCAGTTTTCTGTTATTCATCTTTCGTGGAGCAGCCTAGATACTGGGCTCTTCAAAGGAGAACAGAAGGTCGGACATGTGGGAGAGGGATGTGTTGCTCTGCCTATCCCAGGGTCTCAGGTGTTCACATATCTTGGTCCTTTACACTAACTTGTCAGCAAATGTGTTTATTTGAAGCTCAAATAAACACCTACATAACAAACCACATGATGTTCAGATGTGGGGCAACTTGAGCAGATATTAACATCAACCCTCAAGGCCTTTTTGTGAGAAAAGCAGCTGCCTCCCCCACAGAGGATACTTGGTAGGGAGGAGGAGGAGGAGAGATGTAAAGTTGTTTATTATATCCTCTGGACGACTTGATTGTCTGATTAGCATGCTTTTTAGAGTGGTTAGTATGTTTTTGTTTAATTTAATTGTCTATTGGAGAGACTCTGTCCTATAGAGAAAGCTATGTGAAGTCTATCTTCATCTTGCAGTGAGCTCAACTGTTTTGATAAAATAGTTAAGCCTTATTGAACCTTCTATACAAACAACTTACATTTATTGAGAACGTTCTCTAATGCATCTTACTCAGTTTCTTATTTATTCTCACTGTTACAGCATAGCAAAAATGCCAGCAAGCAGCCTGAGCTTCCTGGCCAGTGTCCTTTGGAGGCACACTGGAACACAGAGCCAGCATTTCTTTGTCTCAAATCTTTCTTTGGCTCGAAGAATTACTTTCAAAGGTAGGCCCGAAGTTCTGATAAACTGATCCTTCCTAAGAGCAGCCTTCAGCTGTAGGCCAATGGAACTGGTGTATGAATAGCCAACAGCTTTCTCCCCTTTTGACTGAGGCATCTTTGAGACACATGGTTTACATAAGCTCCTAGGATTCCCTAGTGGGTTTCAACTCCAGCCACATAAGTTGATAGCCTTTTTAAAAATAGAAGTTAAATCTAAACAGCAATAAACTCAGTGTTTCAACCATTCAAAGATTTTTAGTTTTAATTAATGTTTATATATGCGTGTGGGTAAGGGCATGTGAGTGCAGTGCCAGTGGAGGCCAGTAGAGGGCATCAGATTCCCTGGAGCTGGATTTACAGGTTGTTGTGAAGGCTGGGGATTCAACTTAGGTCTTTCGCAAAAATGCAGTGTTCTTTTAACTACCATGCCGTTTCTCCAGGCCTCATTTTAATCGTTTTAAATTATAAACAGTTTATTGAGTTTTAGTATATCTACAATGTGTAACCAACACTGCTATCAAATTTCAGAATATTCCCATCATTCTCCCAAAGACACCCCCCACCCCCCACCTATTAGCTGTCTATATTCTGGCAATCATTATCTGCCTCCTGTCTGTCTGGCTTTTCCTCCTGTGGAATTTGCATGTAAGTAGCATTGCATGAGTGAGTTTGGCATGGTGTTTGTCAGGTTCACCTGTGAATAGCCTCTCCTGGGTATTTTATTCCTGAGTACTATGACATGTGGTGGACCACATTTTATTTATTCATTCATCAAGTGACAGAGATTTAGAATGCTCACATGTGAGGGTGATTATGGACAACACTGCTATGAACATTGTGTGTGTGTGTGTGTGTGTGTGTGTGTGTGTAGGTATTTCTCAATACTTTTGGGTACATGCTTAAAGTAGAATTTCTAGGTGGTATGGTGACTCTGTGTAACGATTTGAGGAACCTCAGATGTGTTTTCCAGAGTGTCTGTATTTGCTTTCCTGTGAGCAGGGCATGAGGTTCTAGTCTGTCCATCTCATCACCAACAGTTGTTATTACCAGTTTTTTTTTTAAATTGCAGTCATTATATTGTATGTGGACTGTGTCACATTTCCATTCAGACCCTGCTATCCTGGTGACTAATGATATCAAGTGTCTTCTTCCCATCGAGCTGGGACATGCCTTTCTTGGGAAAATGTCTGTTCAAATCTTTTGCTTCCTTCGGTTGGGTTTGTTGTTGAGTTGTAACAGTTCTTTTTATATTCTGAACATATACATATGTGTATGCATATTCGTCATATTCTGGATATATACATATATGTATGTATACTTTTCATATATATGTATATATGTACACACACAATTTGTAATCTTTTTCTTCTACCTTGAGTTTTCTTTTCTTTTTTTTTTCTTTTGATTCAGAAGTTTTTACTCGAATGACTTGGAGAGAAATTTTAGAATAGCAAATGCTGAGCCAGATACTCTCCACCCCACCTCCTTCCTGACCGGCCAAGGAGCACCATCCGTCCAGTGCTGTAGGGCTCCTGTTCAGATTGAAGATTTGCATGTTAGGACATTTAAGTTTTCTTCTCTTTGCAAGAGGGAACACAGAGCAACTAGAAAATCTCTCTGTCTCTCT